ACTCCGTCTGAAAAAAAAAAAACATGGAGTAAACCTCATTTTCTATTTCTCACTGTCAACATTATTTTCAGGGCTTACTGTTGATTTTAGGAGATCCCAGCTTATTTTAAGTGGTCTACGGGACTCCTTTGTTTTCATCTGTCTCATTTCAGTTTTTTTTTTTCCCCCAACATTTCACTTCTCAATTCCCTAGAAATGAGTGAGGTGTTCAGGCTTCACTCACGGAGCCTAAACTATCCACTTGGGATGAAACATGGGTGACAGAATAAGAAAAGATCTTAGCAATCTTTAGAATCAATTGATTATTAATTAGAATACACAGGTACCAGGTGCGGTGGCACATGCCTGTAATCCCAGCATTTTGGGAGGCCAAGGTGGGTGGATCACTTGAGCCCAGGAGTTCCGAGACCAGCCTGTTCAACATAGTGAGACCTCATTTCTACAAAAAAAAATCAGCCATGCTGTAGTCCCAGCTACTGGGGGAGCTGAGTGGGAGGATTCCTTGAGCCCAGGATTTCAAGACCGTAGTGAGCTAGGTCAGCCTGGGTGACAGAGCAAGATCCCGTCTAACGAAAAATTAAAATTGAAAAATACTGGCCAGGTGCGGTGGCTCATGCCTGTAATCCCAGTACTTTGGGAGGCTGAGGCAGGTGGATCATTTGAAGTAAGGAGTTTGAGACCAGCCTGACCAACATAATGAAACCCTATCTCTATTGAAAATACAAAAATTAGGCCGGGCGCGGTGGCTCAAGCCTATAATCCCAGCACTTTGGGAGGCCGAGATGGGCGGATCACGAGGTCAGGAGATCGAGACCATCCTGGCTAACATGGTGAAACCCCGTCTCTACTAAAAAATACAAAAAACTAGCGGGGCGAGGTGGCGGGCGCCTGTAGTCCCAGCTACTCGGGAGGCTGAGGCAGGAGAATGGCGTAAACCCGGGAGGCGCAGCTTGCAGTGAGCTGAGATCCGGCCACTGCACTCCAGCCCGGGGGACAGAGCGAGACTCCGTCTCAAAAAAAAACAAAACAAAAAAAACAAAACAAAACAAAACAAAAAAAGAAAATACAAAAATTAGCCAGAAGTGGTGGCAGGCATCTGTAGTCCCAACTACTTGGGAGGCTGAGGCAGGAGAATCGCTTGAACCACCACGCCCGGTCTAATTTTTTTGTTTGTTTGCTTTTTTAAGTAGAGACAGTGTTTCGCCATGTTGGCCAGGCTGATCTTGAACACCTGACCTCAAGTGATCCACGCGCCTCAGCCTCCCAAAGTGCTGGGATTATAGGCATGAGTCACCGCGCCCGATCTGAAGACATTTTTTATTGGTTGATTGAGTTGGGGTCTCACTGTTGCCCAGGCTGGAGTGTAGTGGCATTATAGCTCACTGCAGCCTTAAACTCCTGGGCCCAAGAAATCCTCCCAGCTCAGTCTTCTGAGTATCCAGGACTACAGGCACACACCGCCACACCCAACTCATTTTAAATTTTTTCTTTTTTTTTTTTGAGATGGAGTCTTGCTCTGTCACCCAGGCTGGAGTGCAGTGGTGTGATCTCGGCTCATTGCAAGCTCCGCCTCCCAGGTTCACGCCATTCTCCAACCTGCCACCACGCCTGGCTAATTTTTTCTATTTTTAGTAGAGACCAGGTTTCACTGTGTTAGCCAGGATGGTCTCGATCTCCTGACCTCGTGGTCCACCCACCTCGGCCTCCCAAAGTGCTGGGATTACAGGTGTGAGCCACCGCGCCCGGCCTAAATTTTTTTTTGTAGAGACAGGGTCTTGCTACATTGCCCAGGCTGGTCTGGAATGCCTGGCTTCAAACAGTCCTGCTGCCTCAGCTTCCTAAAGCGCTTGGGATTATAGGCATGAGCCACTGCACCCTGCCTGACTGAAGACCTTTGATGCCCAACCACAGTAAGGGTCCATTACCTCTGCCAGAGTAGCCAAAAGCTAGATGTTGGTTGACATCACATACAAGCAATGATCCAGTTTCAGGGTCCCTGGCACACTGCTAATGGCACTGTTAATGGGCCATTTGGGGAGCACTTGGTGCAAATGGTGACCAAGTATGGGCACCTCCATGACCTGCAATCCACTGTGGGGTAAGTGCCATGGTAAAGTTTCTTACGTGTTCACAAACTTATAAGAGCAAAGCATTAAGAACTTTAAGAGGCCAATGCAGGAGGATCACTTGAATTTTGAGACCATCCTGTGCAACAAATGAGACTCTATCCCTACAAAAAAAAAAAAAAATTTTGTTTTGTTTTTTTGAGATGGAATCTCGCTCTGTCTCCCAGGCTGGAGTGCAATGGCATGATCTCGGCTCACTGCAACCTCCGCCACCTCCTTGAATTCCTGACCTTGTTCAAGTGATTCTCCTGCCTCAGCCTCCCTAGCAGCTGGGATTACAGGCACCCGCCACCACACCCAGCTAATTTTTGTATTTTTAGTAGAGACGGGGTTTGGCCATGTTGGCCAGGCTGGTCTCAAACTCCTGACCTCAGGTGATCCACCCGCCTTGGCCTCCCAAAGTGCTGGGATTACAGGTGTGTGCCACCATACCTGGCCAATTTTTAAAAATTGTATTATTTTAGAAATGGGGTCTCACTCTGTTTCTCAGGCTGGACTTGAACTCTGGACCTCAAGAGATCCTTCTGCTTTAACCTCCTGAGTCGCTAGGACTTAAGGCATGCACCACTGCACTCGGCAACATCTAATTTTATTTCTCCTCTTATCACGAGCCAGTTTTTTCAGCACAAGTTGTCATGTGGTCATGGGGGTGCCTACCTCAAATCCTCCTTGCCCCATAGTTTAGTCTTGGTTCTGTTCCCATGTGCTGTAGGTTGCCTTAGGAACCAGCGTAAGTCCTAGTTCTTGCCCATTAGAGGTGGGGGCTCCCAGCTCCCTAAAGAGACACACAAGATATAGCATATTGACTTGCTCTTTTAGGTCCTTCATGGTTACAAGGTGGCTAGAGCAGTTCCAGCCAGTAGGCAACAAAGATAATGTTGCTCCCATGTGTCCTTTTGCAGAAACTCAAACCTCTCAGAAGCCCACAACCAACTTTCCCTAGTGTTTCAGAGGCAGAATTCTACAAGGGAAGTGAGACATCCATGGTTGGTTTAGACCAGTCCTGCTTTACACCTGGGGAGAGGATGGGCCTGGCTCCCCAGAAGAACAAATTTAGGGGCTTGTATCAGCAAGAAGGAAGAGAGAGAGAGCAGTTTTAAGAGGTTGCTAGGCGGCCAGGTGTGGTGGCTCCTGCCTGTAATGGGAGGCCGAGGCGAGTGGATCACTTGAGGTCAGGAGTTCAAGACCAGCCTGACCAAGGTGAAACCCCATCTGTACTAAAAATACAAAAGTTAGCTGGGCGTGGTGGCAGGTGCCTGTAATCCCAGCTACTCGGGAGGCTGAGACAGGAGAATCGCTTGAACCTGGGAGGTGGAGGTTGCAGTGAGTCAAGATCATGCCACTGCACTCCAGTCTGGGTGACACAGCAAGACTGCATTTCAAATAAATAAATAAATAAATAAATAAGGTTGGTAGGCAACCAACTGTGTGTGCAGATTCTTCAAGCTTTCCTACTAGATTTTTTTTGAGATGGAGTTTTGCTCTGTTGCCCAGGCTGGAATGCAATGGCGCGATCTTGGCTCACTGCAACCTTCGCCTCCCCGGTTCAAGTGATTCTCCTGCCTCTGCCTCCGGAATAGCTGGGATTACAGGCGCCCGCCACCATGCCCAGGTAATCTTGTATTTTTAGTAGAGATGGGGTTTTACCATGTTGGTCAGGCTGGTCTTGAATTCCTGACCTCGTGATCCACCCGCCTCGGCCTCCCAAAGTGCTGAGATTACAGGCATGAGCCACTGTGCCCAGCCTCTTCTACTACTTATTTTTATTTTTATCTTTTTTGAGATGGAGGCTCATACTGTTGCCCAGGCTGGAGTGCAGTGGCACGATCTCGGCTCACTGCAACCTCCGCCTCCTGGTTTTATGTGATTCTTCTGCCTCCTCCCGAGTAGCTGGGATTATAGGCCACCACGCCCAGCTAATTTTTTGTATTTTTAGTAGAGATGGGGTTTCACCATGTTGGCCAGGCTGGTCTCGAACTCCAGATCTCAGGTGATCCACCCACCTCAGCCTCCCAAAGTGCTGGGATTACAGGCGTGAGCCACAGCACTCGGCCTCTACTACTACTATTTTTTTGTTTTTGAGACGGAGCCTCGCTCTGTCACCAGGCTGGAGTGCAGTGGTGTAATCTCAGCTCACTGTAACCTCTGCCTCCCAGGTTCGATTCCCCTGCCTCAGCCTCCCGAGTAGCTGGGACTATAGGCACGCACCACCATATCTGGCTAATTTTTTTTTTTTTTTGTATTTTAGTAGAGGTGGGGTTTCACCATGTAGGCCAGGATGGTCTTGATATCCTGACCTTGTGATCCACCTGCCTCAGCCTCCCAAAGTACTGGGATTACAGGCGTGAGCCACCACGCCCAGCTGTTTACTACTATTTCTTAAAGGGTGAGAGGAGGCGGGAGGATCCCTTGAGCCCTGAAGTTTGCAGCTGCAGTGAGCTTTTGATGGTGCCACTGCACTCCAACCAGGGTTACAACAGGACCCTGACTCTAAAAAAAAAAAAATACACTATTAATACTTCCTCCTTACTATCATGTTTACTGTGGCCTTTATCAGACTAGAGAGTCCTTTTATCTCTCCCTTTTGTAAGAGCTTTTAGAATTATCAATAGATGGTTGGGTGAGGTGGCTCAGGCCTGTAATCCCAGCACTATGGGAGGCCGAGGTGGGTGGATCACGAGGTCAGGAGTTCAAGACCAGCCTGGCCAAAGTGGTGAAACCCTGTCTCTACTAAAAATATAAAATAATTAGCCGGGCGTGGTGGTGAGCGCCTGTAATCCCAGCTACTCGGGAGGCTGGGGCAGAGAATTGCTTGCACCCGGTAGGCAGAGGTTGCAGTGAGCCGAGATTGTGTCACTACACCCCAGCCTGGGTGACAGAGTGAGATTCCGTCTCAGAAAAAAATAAAATAAAATTATCAATAGATGGTGACCCTCATCTTCATGTTTTCTGCATCTATTGAAGTGCACCATTGAGATCGTGGAGTTCTTCCCTGTTTGTCCAAATGGTGAACAACACTGATTTTCTGATGTTGAAGAATCCCTGGAATAAACTCTGCTTGGTGTCCATGGATTTCTGTTTCCCTTTAGATTTTGTTAGTAATTTATTTTGGATTTTTGCATCCAAGTTCATAATTGTACTTGACAAAGGCAGATTTTAAAAGGACAAGTTGGGAGGCTAAGGTGGAAGGATCACTTGGGCCTGGGAGATTGAGGCTACAGCGAGCCTTGATTGTGCCACTGTACTCCAGCCTGGTGACAGCAAGACCTTTGTCTCTAAAATAATAATAAATAAAAGGACGAGTTTACTTACAGTCTCACCAAGCAATGAAAGAGCTTATCTTCCTCCTGTTTCCTTTGCGGATCTTGCTCATGTATTTTATCTTAGTTACTTTAGCATAAATGCTAAATCAAATTCTTTTTCACTAGACATCATCATAGCTCTAGGCATGCCACATAATAAATACCCAAACACATATTAATCATTAAAATTGTTTCCTTTTTTTGTGGCTACTGTAACCACTTCAGCGAACCATTTAATCCATAGTGAGTTTAAATTATTTTTTCTCGGCTGGGCGCGGTGGCTCACGCCTGTAGCCCTTTGGGAGGCTGAGGCGGATGGATCACGAGGTCAGGAGATCGAGACCATCCTGGCTAACACAGTGAAACCCCGTCTCTACTAAAAGTACAAAAAAAAAAAAAAAAAAAAAAGCCGGGCATAGTGGCGGGCGTCTGTAGTCCCAGCTACCCGGGAGGCTGAGGTAGGAGAATGGCGTGATTCCGGGCGGCAGGGCTTGCAGTGAGCCGAGATCGCGCCACTGCACTCCAGCCTGGGAGACACAGCGAGACTCTCTCAAAAAAAAGAAAAAGTATTTTTTCTCCTTCCTGGGATAAATTTCCCAGGAGAGGGATAATTGGGTCAAAAGATATGAACATATTTATGGGTTCTTTTCTACAAGAGATCGATCAGTTTCCGAGTGCCATCTGCAATGTGGGGGAACCAATCTTCAGCTTGCCTGCATTTGGTCTTAGTATTTTATTAATCTTTCATTGATCCAATTACGGCTCTTTGACACAATTTTCATCAGTAGTGGACTAAGTGTGACCGGCCTGACCTGTCTCCCGCCAGTGTGAGAAGAGGCATGTGTCAGGTTGCGCTCGGGCTCCCCCTGCCGCCCGTTGTGGTCCAGCCCGCTAGGCGCTCCCTGCCGCCCATTGTGACGCCCGCCAGCCGCAGGCTGGGTCCCCTAGGCGGGCGGCGTTTAGGCACGGTCTCCACAGCCATGGCCGCGACGCAGGAGCTGCTGCTGCAGTTGCAGAAGGATAACCGAGATGGTCGCCAGCGGAAGCAGGAGCTAGAGAAGCTGATGCGCGGGCTCGAGGCCGAGAGCGAGAGCCTCAACCGGCGCCTGCAGGACCTGAGTGAGCGGGAGCGAAGGTGCGCGGGGAACGCCGCTCCACCTGGCGGGCGCGCGAGGGTCCGTCCCGCAGGCAGCGCCGCGAGGGGCTTCGCAGAGTACCAGGCCGATCCGCCCGGGCCCGCACCTCTGTTCTAGGCCCTTGGGGAACGGGCGATCCACCCAGCGGACCCAGGTGGGGGACTCGGTCAGGACTTCCCCGACTCCAATCATGAGCCTGCGGCTGGTCCTTCCCGGTGCCTGCGGGATCCTGAGCAACCCAGTCCGCCTTGTAGCGCCAACCTCAGTTTCCCTCTGCAGCCTGCTGCGGAGGCGAAGCCAGGCAGCACAGCCTCTGCAAGGGGAGGCGGGCGAGGCGGCGCGGGAGCGCGCGGAGCGGGTGCGCAGAAGGCTGGAGGAGGCGGAGCGCCACAAGGAGGACTTGGTGAGGAAGAGTCCTGGAATGGGGCTGGATCCACGGTGGAGTGGGGCAGGGCGGGCGGAAGGGGGCGGGATCCGGGGGTGGGGTGAGGCAGGACCGGCGGAAAGGCCGGCACCGCCCCAGGACCCTGTCCGCAGGAGCAGTACAACAGGCAGCTGCAGGAGCAGTGGGAGGAGCTGTCGAGTCAGGTACGTGCCGGAGATGGGAGGGCCTGTCTCGTGGTTCCTCTCGGAAGTCCTGCCCTGGTCCCCGCCCTTGTTGCCTCTCCGTCCCTGTCACCCATGACACCCGTTCCTCCAGAAGTCGGTAAACCCCGCCCTTACAAGCCCCGCCCCTAGCTCTTCTACTACGGAGGGGAACAGCAGAGCCAGAAGAGCACGGAGCAGCAACTCGCAGCCCAATTGGTGACGCTGCAGGTGCTTGAGCGGGACCCTGAGGTCTTTAGCAGAGGCGGAGCAGCAGCATGAGCGGGGCGTTGACCACCTGGGGGTGTGGCTTGCGGCAGGCCCGGACGGCGTGGAGTGGGCGGGGATGTGGGCGGAGCATAATCGCATGGGGGCGGGGCCCTGAGGGCTAGAATAGGGGCGGAGAGCGGAGGGGGCGGGGCCATGACTAACTGGGGCGTTGCTTACGACGGGTCCTGAGGACGTGGGCAGGGTCATGGTCGCCTGGGGGCGGGCGGTGAGGGCCACGGGCGGGGCCCGGAGGGGCAGCGGGGTGTCGGCCTGCGGACCTCCTGACATTCCCTGGGTCCTTCTCAAGAATGAACTGCAGCTGGCGGAGACCAAGTGCGCCTTGCAGGAGGAGAAACTGCAGCAGGTGAGGGCAGAAGTGGGTTTTGTTGGAGGGTCGGCTTTCGAGTGTGGGTGGGGAAGGGCGTGTCTCCCCGGAGTCTAACCCAGGTGTCCACACCCAGGGCGCGCTGCAGACAGCTGAGGCCTGGGCCATATTCCAGGAGCAGACCGTAGTCCTGCAGGTGCGGCCCCACTCGGACGCCACGGTGCCTCCCGCCTCTCCTCCCCCAGACCTGGGGCGGCAGGTCTCCCAACCCGCCGCCAGGACGCCTCCCCGAGGCCTCAGTCCGCACTCTCACCCGCTCCAGGAGGTGCAGGTGAAGGTGATGGAGGCTGCGGAGGAGCTGGACGCCTGGCAGAGTGGCCGGGAACCGTAAGGGAGTTGGGCCTGCGGGCGCGGCGGGGCACTGTGGGGCCGGGCCGGGCTCCCACCTGCATGCCTGTCCCCGCAGGTGTGACGGACAGCTTCGCGGAGTGCAGTATAGCACCGAGTCGCTCATGGAGGAGATGGCCAGGGCGGACCGAGTGAGCGCCTGCGCGGGTCCGGGTGGGGCGGGCTGAAGCGGGACACCCCTCCCCATCCCGGCGCCGGGCCGCCTCCCCCTCCTCCTGGAAACCCGGCCGGCTCCGCGGGCGCGGAGGTAGCTGGATGAGGCCCCCTCTCTCCGCAGGAGATGCGGCTGTTCAGCGGCCGGTGCGCGCTGGCCATCAGGTGAGCAGGACGGTGGGCGCGGCCGCGGTCCCCCAGGTACACGCCCGAGTCGCCGCCTACCTGCCCGCCTTTCGCCCCGCAGGCGGTGCGTGCTGGGCGCGCTGCAGGTGCTGCTGACGCTGCCGCTCCTCTTCCTGGGGCTGTTGCTGCTCTGGACTGTGCTGTTGGACCCCGGCACCATCTCCGCGTGGCTCCGGAGTCTCACCTCGGAGACGACGCTGCGCCGCCTGCGCTATACACTGTCCCCGCTGCTGGAGCTGCGCGCTAACGGGCTGCTGCCCACGTAAGTGCAGCGCCCCGCGCCTGGCTCCAGGTGGACTCCAGGGCACCTGGCTTTATTTCTGGTGCACTCCTCTCCTGAGAGTGTAGACCAAGGTCGCCTAATAAACTCCTCAAAGGATGAAGCTCGTGGGTTCGTCATCTGTCTCCCATGTCCTGTAGGAGCTTGGTTTTTTAGCCTCCCAAGAGTCCTTCCTTTTTTACAGCTCATGGATTTAGATCCACTCCCCAGTATTATAAACAGCATTTTTTGTTTTTCAGGATATATAATTTGCCATATTGCCAGAAACTTGTACATAGCATTTGACACTTTTTTGCCAATTTGACAAGCTGCCTTTTTCAAGTATTGTGATTTGAAATTATTTCTACTATATTTGAATTTATTTCTACCATTTGTAATATGTTGATCCTGATTTTTCAATGCTCCCCTTTCCGTTTATTTGGGAAGTCACACTCTGTATTCTGGTGTTCTTACTACTTGAGCTCAGCTCATCGCTGTCATCTTCCCCTAAACTGCCTTAAAGCATCTTAATGCTTGTCTTTTCCCTCTGATCACATGTGCTTTTTTTTTTTTTTTGAGACAGAGTCTTGCTCTGTCGCCCAGGCTGGAGTGCAGTGGCGCGATCTCGGCTCACTGCAAGCTCTGCCTACTGGGTTCACACCATTCTCCTGCCTCAGCCTCCCAAGTAGCTGGGACTACAGGCACCCGCCACCACACCCAGCTAATTCTTTGTATTTTTAGTAGAGACAGAGTTTTACTGTGTTAGCCAGGATGGTCTCGATCTCCTGACCTCGTGATCCACCCACCTCAGCCTCCCCAAAGTGCTGTAATTACAACAGGCATGAGCCACCGTGCCTGGCCAACATTTTTTCCAGATACCTTACTGTTATTGATTCCTAATTTCCACTGTGGCCAGATAACATACTTTGCGTGATTTTAATTCTATCTCATTTACTGAGACTTGTTTTGTGGCCCAGCACAAAGCTTGTAATGAACATTGAGAAGAAAGTACTATTGACAGTGATTTTTTTTTTTTTTTGAGATGGAGTCTTGCTCTGTCGCCAGGCTGGAGTACAGTGGTGTGCAATCTCAGGTCACTCCAACCTCTGCCTCATGGGTTCAAGTGATTCTCCTGCCTCAGCCTCCCAAGTAGCTGGGACTACAGGTGCATGCCGCCATGCCCAGCTAATTTTTGTATTTTTCACCATGTTGGCCAGGATGGTCTCGACCTCTTGACCTCATGATCCGCCCAGCTTGGCCTCCCACAGTGTTGGGATTATAGGCGTTAGCCACCGTGCCAGGCTGACAGAGTGTTTTACAAATACCCAGCAGGTCCAGGTGGGTGACAGGCTTGTTCAGGGCTCCTGTGTTTACTTCCTTGTTGGTAGCTCATCAATTGCTTATTGTGAAATGCTCCATAAACACCCATACACATGATGATTATGGATGGCCAGTCTTTTTTCCATAGATCTATGTCTTCATATGTAAAGTGCTTTGGTTATAATCAGCACATAACTGGGTCTCACTTCTTGTTTATAATCTCTGACTTTTAAATTGGGGTGGTAAGTCTATTATGTTCTCCTTTCCTGCCTTCTTTTGGATTAATATCTTTTAAAAGTCCTTTTTTTTTTTTTTTTTTGGAGACAGAGTCTTGCTCTGTCGCCCAGGCTGGAGTGCAGTGGCGTGATCTCAGCTCACTGCAAGCTCTGCCTCCCGGGTTCATGCCATTCTCCTGCCTCAGCCTCCTGAGTAGCTGGGACTATAGGCGCCCGCCACCACGCCTGGCTAATTTTTTTTTTTGTATTTTTAGTAAAGGCGGGGTTTCACCGAGTTAGCCAGGATGGTCTCGATCTCCTGACCTCGTGATCCACCCGCCTCGGCCTCCCAAAGTGCTGGGATTACAGGCATAAGCCACTGTGCCCAGCTTAAAAGTCCTTTTAACTTGTACACTGACTCATATTTTTTATTG